ACATTAAAATGAAACCTCTTTGTAGAACTAATATTCATCAATGAAAAAATAAAAAAGAGGAGGGGCATGGTACTGGGGCCAGACCAAGACAAGGTCCAGTGATTTGGGGATCCAGGACTGATGCCTGCCAAGCATTGTTGTCATTCATATGTGTGTCCTTTTTAAAAGCTTTGCTTTGTTGCTCTCTGAAAGGAATTCAAGAGAATCATGAATATATACAGAGTCAGTGAAATCAATTTATGCTTAGGCTAAAATCTGAATCACATAAACTATTTTTTGAGAAAAATGTTACAAGGCAATAAGAGGGTAAATTTTTCTGCAAAAACGATCAGAAGTTGATTCTACCTCTCTATCTCTCTTCATAACCACTATTCACAAGTTGGAAAATAATAGTTTTAATTGAAATGTATTAAAACCTTAGCAATTGCTCTTATTATATAGAAAACAAATAGGCTGCCCATGTGGCTTAAGTGGTAAAGCAAGTGCAAGGCTCTGAGTTCAAGCTCCAATAGCACCATCCCCTCCCCTCCAAAAATCCCTACACAGAGGCAATGCTTTCTATCCAGTCTCTTGAATGGTGTATGCCTGGACTGGGGTGTGGCTCAAGCAGCAGAGTGCCTGCCTAACAAGTGCAACGCCCTGAATTCAAACCCTAGTACAGCCAAAAAAAATGATGCCACACAATAGTTATATAGAGAAATGTAGTTAAATTGAATTACAGTTGAAGTCCCTTAGTTTCAAAATCATGCCTTTTCCACCTTTCACAAAATTAGTTTAAAATCTAGGGACCCCATTCTCCCCTCTGTCCCCAAAACTGTAGGGTTTGGGGTAGCTGCTCAGTTTGGCTTTTTATGATGATATTGGTTGCTGTCCCACAATTAGGCATTTCAGGCCATTAAGTCTACTCCAGACTTGAGAAAGCTCATTTCCTAAATTATGAAAATAGGCCTGGGAAATTTAAATATGATTTGCCTCTCATTTAGGTATAAACTCATCCTTATGTCCTATGCAGCTAAATAGGTCAAGAAGGCGAAGAAATACCTTCATTGCTGGGGTTTGGGGATGAACCGGTATCTCCAAATTAGAAAGGATGTCTAGCAGAACATGTTTGTCACCAGTTGTTAGTGCCACAGACTCCCTGTATCCCATACTGAGTGCACTACCACTGTCATCCTGAATTCCAGTGCCAGACAGCTGAAGACATTAGTAAGAGAGTGTCCCATTGTTCACCAAGTCTTGCTCAACACTGGGTCAGATTTTAACAGAGGTTATACAGCATGATTTTATACTACACAGTCTTGTGTTATATAAAAAATGCCAGCAGAGTATTGTTTTATGTTCTTTAAGCTTTTGGGGGTGGGATAAGATGTTATACCCACAATAAAAATGAATTTAGGGCATAGTGGTGCATGTTTATAATTCCATCTACTTGGAAAGTGAAGATAGAGTAATCACAGTCCAAGGCTGGCCTAGGCAAAAGTGTAAGACCCTATGTGCAAAAAGGACTCAGGTCATGACTCAAGTGGTGGAGCACCTGCTTAGCAAGCATACAGCCTGAGTTTAAACCACAGTATTGCAAAAACAAAAACCAAAAAAAAAAAACAAAAAAAAGAAAAGAGCTGTCCAATAACTTTTGCAATGATGGAAATGTTCTGCACCTGTACTGTCTAGTTCAGGAGCCACACAGGTGATTGTTAAACACTTGATGTGTGACTGGTACAACTGAGGAACTGAATTTTTTTATTTTAACGAATTTAAAACTAAATGACTAACAGTAGCTAACGGTCTCTTTATTAGAATGCACAGACTATCCTTAAGGCTCTTGTAGGAAACCTGAAGCTGTGTTAAAGTGGTCCTTGAATAAGAACCCAAGACTTTCATATGGCTCATCTTTCCTTGTCTCAAGGTGAGGGAGATCTTTTCGGAGGTCAGGCAGGCAGCTCTATACTTCAGCATCACACAGAGACAGGCCCAAAGAAATTGTTAACTTTAAAACAAGTCAGGCAGAGATTTGACTTGCAGGGGAAGTCAGAGGTGGTTCAGTTTCTTCTCTCACTGGCTGGCTTCTCTCTTCACCATCAGCTGCTGTCCTGGCTTTGTGCTTGGCCATTGAGAAGTTTTGCTCTTCTATTGTTTTTGGAAAGTTTGGAGAGATTCTACACTCTTGAGAAGTTCCTTGGTTGGTTTGGACATGAAAATTAGAATACATTCACTCCTTTAAAGCCACATGTCATTAACCAACCTAGTGGGCAAAGGCAGCTATTCAAGAGTCTGAGATGATGGAGCTACTCAGCAGAATCAAGTGAGAGAATTCTGATCTGTCATCAAGGAAGTTTATGAAGCGAGAAGCATGTCAAAAGATGGAAACAAAAGGAAAGATGAAATGACAGAATGTCAGGTTTGGACAAAGTGAGGACTCAGAAGCCCATGGAGTTCCAGACATAGCCAGACCTTTTCCCTATTCATTCCAGCCTGAGGATGGCAGTGGTGGCAGCAGTAAATGGTACATATGCTTGCTCTGTGCTGATAATCAACTGTCTTGGAGCCAGAAGGTCATCACATCAGTGCTGCTGCCTACTATAGGGGGTCCAGTGCCAGGCTGGCCATGGAAGTCACCAGATGAATATCCAAGAGCCCTGCTCCACACTGGGATATTCCAAACCCAGAAGTCTGGAGATTGGGTGTGGCAATGGGCCTTCGCAACAGGTGATCCTGATGGACAACTAGATCTGGGGTGTCTGCAAAGACTCGGAGAATGGATTTTCCTTATTAGAGAAGATAAATACTAGAGCCGGGATGAGGTAAATACTAGAATTGAGGTTTTCCAGCAGAGGGAATCAGAGGAAAAGAATTATTTGCTCAGATCCTAGGATAATGCATGTAGCATCAGTATAACTTATACCTCACAAAAGAAAGGGTTTTGTTGCTGGTTGTCTACTTTCTACCAATTCTTAAGATGATATAAACTTAGTGACACCAAACATTGTTGTAGCAATATTTTATATACATGGGTGATAGACAGTAGCAAGAGTCTAAAAGACTCTACAAAGAAGACTATGTTCTTAGAGTAGGATCCTACAAGAATGAGCATTTACTGTTGATCATTAGAAAGAATAAAATGGGACATTCCAAACAATCTTATTTTGGAATTTTAATATTAATGAATCAAAGTCTTTCATGTGATAGAAAATACTGATAGGAAGTGACATCCAAATAGAGCCCTGAACTTAAGAGTTGCCCTTTTGTGGAGTTCATTTCGTGTCTGTGGTAACTTGTAGCTATTATGGCCAAACTCACAGGTAAGCATTCAACCTCGTTCTTTTGTCCTTTAATCCACTGGGAACCCCGAGGGCTCAGTGTTCATGTCTCTGTGAAAAGTGAAGGTAAGTCCTTTGGTGAAGGACCCATTTCCCTGGTTGTTACTGTCTCTCCCTTTCACATTGGGTGAGATGTGGACAGGGAAGTTTATGTACGTATTCCATCGATACTGCTTGGTGTCTAATAGGCCTCCAGGCCACAAAGTCTGAGGTATGAACAGGTAGGAGAGTCAAGAAGAGAAGGAAGGCAATACTCCTGCTTCATTGATGGAATGTTCTGTTCACATAAGGTTCCTGAGTCTTTTCTAGACTTTTGTGCCTTTTGGCTATAATCAAATGTAGCCAGGAGTACAGACACAAAGATTCCTCTGTGTGAGAGTGTGTGGTCACAATTCACGCCCAGCATGGAAACCTACAGAGACACAGTTAAGGTGGGGAAGCATTCAGAGAATGTGGCTGAGGCTAGGCCCAGGTGGGGACAGGGCCTCCTCAATCCTCTTGGACTTGCTCAGAGGAACTCCAGGGAGTCAGAAGATCCATTGACAGGTCCCCCTGCTCTTCTTTGGATCTGACCTGGATGTAGCCCAACAAATCCATAGTATCACCACAGACTTTCTGAAGTCGTGAAACCTTTTCATAAGGCAAGGACCAGCGCCAGGCTTGGGAGACGTTGAGGGCATCTCTAGCATTTGTGTGAAAGGCATGCTGACCCATGCCCTTACCACGGGTGATGTTGTGTACCCAGGTCTGGAGATAGGGCAAAAAGTCCAAGCCTACGAATTCATACATCTGCGAAGTTTGGGCCAGGGGGGCCCGGACCAGGTCCTCATAGCGAATGAGCAAGTAGCGCTGTTGTAGATCTTTGGGCAAGGTCTGAATGGCTTTGACCATCTCCAGCTGGCTTCTGCAGATGGTCTGCATGACATAGTATGGTTGGTCCTCCTCCTTGAGGTTTTGCCAGAGCTGCCCCAACACCATGCGACTGTCAATCTTGAGTTCTGCCGAGGTGTGTTCCCGGGAACGGAAGACAGCCCGGGGGTCGCGCACCAGGTGCACGATGTGCAGGTTGAGGGAGGGGTCGGTGAGCAGCGGGTAGAGCACCTGCAGGTTGAAGAAGCGCACCTCCTTGAGCACCACGTGGCTGTAGGAGAGGCAGGCCTCCTGCGCGCTGTGGAAGGGCTGCTGCCCGCACAGGAGCTTGCAGTGCGTGTGCGGGATGATCGTGTCGCGAGAGAAGAATTTGCAGGCAGGTGGCGAACACAGGGCGCGGCTGTGTTCCCAATGGAAGAGGCTAGACTGTTTCCGAGGACCCGGCTTCATGTAGGCATCAAAGACGCTCATGTCGCACAGAAAGACAGAACGCAGCAGGTCCCGCACTGCCATGTGCAGCCTCCAGGCAGTGCTGTGTGTGAAGCTCATCCACACGTGCCAGGCGGGCTCCATCAGGTAGAAGACATCTGGGTGCTGCCCAAAAAGCTGCCCCACAAGAGAAGAGCCAGAGCGCCAGGAAGACAGGACCAGCACGTGCATGGGTTTAGGCTCCTCCTTCACAGACAGGGAGATGTCATATACATGCAGGAAGAGAAAAAAGAGGACCATCTGGGAAACCAGGAAGAGCAGGAGACTCAGTTTTTTGGGCAGTATCATTGTGCCACAGTGGTAGACCTTGTAAGGACAAGCAGAAGGGCCTGAGTTAGGATGTCTTGCCAAAGCCATCTCTTCCCTGACCCCCTCCAAGGAGGAACCATTTGCACAGTCCCCTCTCCAGGTCAATTCCTGTCCTCTGAAGTTAATATATCGGTAAGTTCTATGTATTTTGGGGTCTTTAATTCCTCCCTTCAGGTGTTTCTTGTCCATCAGACCACCAAGAAACCTGAACTCAGCTTATTCAATCACCATAAGGGAACAACTCCACCGTGGCAACCTGGTGGCACCTGTCTTCACACAGGCCACCACAAGCAAAGATCAGGCTCAGTGTGACCAAATTGATTCAATGCCTTGTGATCCTTCTGAAACCAAGAGCGATGTGCCACCCAGCAATAAGCTGGCGTGAGGCCATTTGTCACTCCTCCTCCATTATTTTTGGTGCTTCTCTATTTGCTCTAATGGCTAGTATATATTGCCATCAGTATACAGTAAAAAGTCTATCTCTGCCCCACACCTGCCCAATTCTCAGCTTATTCCTACACAGTAGCTGGGTTCATTTTTTAGTTATTTCAGTCGCTTTATGCAAACACAATAAAATGCAAATGTATATATATCTTTAATGTTTTCCCTCTTGAAAACATCAAAAAATAGTAAGCTATCCCTAGTTGGCTACACTTTGTTTTCTTGTCAACACATCTTGGGAGAGATTTCACAGCAGTACATAAAGCATTTCCTTGTTCCTTTTTGCCACACAGAATTCCATTGTATGGACATACAACAGTTAATTTAACCAGTTTCCTCATTGGTGGGCTTTTGGATTGTTTCCAACTGTTGCCATTTCAAATGCTTCAGTAATGACCTTCATGTTATGTACATGTGTATAAGATAAATGCCCAGAAGCTGGGTGTTGGTGGCTACTCAGGAGGCAGAGATCAGGAGGATCATGGTTTGAAGCCAGCCTGGGCAAATAGTTTGTGAGAGCCTATTTCAAAAAAAAAAAAATCACAAAAAGGACTGGTGAAGTGGCTCAAGGAGTAGTTCCTGAGTTCAAGCCTCAGTATGGAAAAAAAGAAAAAGAAAAAAGATAAATGCCCAGAAGTGGAATTGCTGAGTCAAAGGGTATGTGCATGCATAACTTGGGTATCAGTTGAGATTCTGGGAAAGAGCCCTGAAGCCTTCAAACTGATCATATACCATTCTCTATATCCAGGGCACCAGAGATATTTGAGAGTAGATTTTGGAGGAAGAATTGGGTCACAGATGTGTCTCCTGGAGTTTATAAGTTGCTTCCTCAAAAGGTAGAACATGTGTTGCCAGCTCATGGGCTTCCCTTGGAAGTTCCCTGAACCTTCTGGGAAGTGTATAAATGACCCAAGCCAGACCTTGGGTGGCAGTGCAGAAACACCACCCCTCCCCCACACCCGCCTTCCATTCATTACAACAATGCTTTTCCTCTGCGTGTGCCAAAAGGACCCAGTGAGGATCACCTTTTCTTTGTGGCCAAAACCCACTATGCTATCTGCCTTATTGTCGGGGGTGGGGTGGGGGGTAGTGGTGGAGGGTGATCTTAATGAAGGGTGATTCCTGCGTTGTAGTCCTGGCTCTGTGGAATAGAAGAGGACCCGCTAAGATAAGCAACTAGTTCCTAAAACTTGCGTACAAGAGGAAACGATTAGAAACTACACCATTGTCAATAGCGGCCCAAGGATGCCTTCCCTACCCATACTCCCCAGAGACACAAGATAACACTTGAGCAAGAGAGCTTCTCTAGGAGCAACAGGAGAATGAGGAAAACTTTGGAACAAATGTAGGAAACAATGGAGCAACAGGGATTGGAAAACAAAAAGAGAATAACTTGACCTGTGTACAATTCTAAGGAGACTGTGGTGGAATTTTAGAAGCAGGGCTTGTAATCACTTTAGGAGCATGCTAACATTTCCTGTGGATTTGGAAAGCAGACCTTTCAGGGTGCACCTCCCTACCTGCATCGCAGCTTTGGGCTAACTAACTTATCCTGTGAGGCTCCATGTGCCCTCCTGTGTGCCACCTGCTCCTGGGCTCAGGCCATTTCTCTCAATAAGCCTGGACTTGGGCCTCCAAACTGTCCCTAGTTTTTATCATGGCCCTGACGAATTCCTGTGGGAACCCTCTGACTTTCTTCTCTGTTTTTTCTTTCCATGAGCACGTTACCTGACCAGAAAGAGAAGGCTTTTGTGAAGTAAGTCCCATCTCTGATGACTGGACTCAGGACAACACGTGGTGGGGCTGCCCAGACAGCTAGGGAACACTGAGGGTGGATGTCAGGCACAGCTCAGCCCTGTAGAGACTGCCGTCTGCAGTGGAGGTGGATGTTCTTGAGATAGGGTCTTGCTAACCATGGTAGAGATGGCAGACTGGGCATTCTGGCATGGAAGTGTGTAACTGAGAAGTTTCCTTTTCCCTGCTGAGGCTCCTCAAGCATACTGTAATTCTTCAAGTGATTAGGGCTCCTGAAAGATTTTGCTGAATAAATGAAAAGTCAGGAAGTATTCCAGTGTGGGACATAGCATAGTCATTGTTGGAAAGCTGAAAACCCCTGGGACAGCTATCCAGAAGATGGAGATGGAACCATTGTGGTTGAAAGACATCCTGGGCAAAAAGTTAGCAAGACCCTATCTCAAAAACAATCTCGGAATGGTGGCTCACACCTATAATCCCAGTCTTTTGTATCAGTCATTAAGATTTAGGTGGCTCCCTTGAGTATTGAGCATATAACCAATCCTTTCTCAGTTGCATCCATCAAGATAAAGTCAGATACCTCATTTTGATGTGATTTAGCACAGTTAACCTCACTCTAACAAGAGCTCCTACATTGAACAGTGGTGATTAAAACCAGGAGGGAAAAAAAATCCACGAAAAAATTTTAGAAAATTTTTATTAAAAAGAAACAAAATCCCCATTGCCAGTTACTGGCTCCCTTGCTCTAACTAGCTCAGTTACTAGGTGAACAAGGCAAAAGAAAACAAACTCAGCACATCCCATCCTTCCCACTGAAAAAATTAATTTGAGCACCTGTTGTGCCAATGATGGTTGATTGACAACATCTTGGAGCCCAAAGGACAGCCCATCACTAAAGAGTTGTGATAATGTTAGGGTCCTGAAAAGTATCACCAAAGGGATGGCAGTAAGGAAGAGCCTGTGAAGTTACAGGGACCAGGAAGGCACCAGGACCAGGATTTCACATAGCAGCCAGATAGCAGAGGGCTGAGTTAGGCTTTTAGAAATGAAATGGGAAATCCTGAGAGAAAACCAAACAGATACCAATTTAAGAAGCCCAGATTTCAGTCACTTGGTGAATTCCTAATTTAGATTCCACAATGAGATTATGCCCCTGCAACCGGAAATTAGAAATGGCAGAAGATAACCTTGCACAAACTGAGAGAGAGAGAGAGTGATAAGGACACCAGCCTTATCACTGATCTGGGAAATCCGCAGAGCCAAGCACCAGGGCAACGGCTGTTCACAGAACTAATTAGACTGAGGTTGCCAGTGCTGGACCTGGAGTGCCAGTGATGGTGCCCCACGTACCATGTGCTCAGCAAATGTCTACAACAAACGGCCAAACATTTGTAGAGCATGTTTTACTGTTTGAGGTGTCCTCATTGACCCAGGAAGGATGGCTGGGCAAAGTGTTACTGTTTTTATTTCATACATAGAAAATTATTCCATTTCCAATAAGAAGTTCAAAGTCATTCAAAATATAAGTTCCTTCTACCTTAGCTGATACACCGGCCCGAAATTTCGTATTTATTTGTGTGTGAGTGAGTGTGTGTGTGTGTGTGTGTGTGTGTGTGGTTCCGGGGATCTAACCCAGGGTCTTGCACATGCTAGGCAAACACCAAACCATTGAGCTACATCTCCTGCCCACATAACTTCCTATTTATATCTGCATGGTATTTCCCAATTTACAGATTCCTTTGAAGGGCAGTCGTGAAAGCAATACAGTTAGACATGCAGGACTGGGATGATCCAGTTTCTCATTTTTCAGAATAAAGAAACTGACTTTGATCAATTGACTCCTCATCTGTAATAACCCTGCCCAGATCAGAGCCCCAGGCTTTTGGGTCCCAGGTCTGAAAGTTTTTCTATGATCACATTCCATTCCACCTGAGTTGGAAAAAACCTGCAGCTCCCTCTACTTCCTATCTCCCCTCCCCAGCAGAGAACAGCAGAGAAGCTGTGGGCAGTACAGAAACTTGAACTCCAAAGCTTGAACTTGAACTCCTGAAGGGATCAGATGTGCCAGTGGACTGGCTAAAAAATTTACATCAGAACAGAACTACCCACATTCTAGGCTCTTTTGGATCTTTAATGAATGGAGCCAGTGGGGAAGCTGCTTACTGGTTTGTGTTTTTCTCCAGAAAATTCCCTCGGTAACTCAGATCTCATCCACCTTTCACTATCCCCCCTCCTCAGCCATCTAAATCCTTAGCTTAGCTGCCAGAGGTTATCTGATACTCCGCTCCAGTGGCCCTGGGATCATAGGCTGCATAGCAGGTGCACCCAGAGAGAGTGTCTTCTTACCTTGTTAATGGCTTGGGCTTCCCCACTGCTTTTGAGAGTCTCACAGCTGGCCAGGCTGAGCACTGCTCTCTGACTCACCAACGCCCCCTCAGCTTCCTCCTCCTCCTCCTTGCATTTTGCATATCCATCTGTTTTACTGCCTTTGCCCTTTGGCTGGGAAAAGGACTCACCTTGGAAGACAGGCTTGGGAAAACACAGGCTCCCAGAAGCTGTGACATTAGCAGCTTTAACAGAGGGAGACTGGACTGGGAGATGAGGCTCCCAGTGAGCAGAAAGCAGGGAGAAGAGGCTGTCTCCCACTTCCGGAACATTGACTTCTCTGAGGCAGCCCCATGGTCAACTCCCTTAGGGCAGCATGGAAGCAGAAAGACCCCTGGAGAACTAGCAGATGAGGCTGACAGGAACACTGCCTGACGGTTACAACCAAAATGCCCACA